CCCTAAAGTAGGATTTTTGAATGAATAAATAAATAAATATTGTAAGCTTCCTATTTTATAAATAGGTTCTAGGTTTAGAACCTAGGACTCCACATTTTCTTACTCATTTGAAAGAATATGTTATTTAGTTAGTCTAGTTTATCCAGTAACTTCAACTCAGTTTTTCAATTTGGGCCTTAGTTGTGGATGGCCAACTCAACTATTTTACCACTGAACCCTTAACCTGAGTCTTTAGCCATAATCCTCAGCAAAGCTGAAACAAAGACACTTGATGTTTCTTTGATTATCCTTGACAAAGTCCAATGAAGCCCAGGTATTTCTTGGGATATTTGCACCAACATATCCTAGCTGTGATGCATCACATTGTAAATATGAGTGTGCCTGGACTTTGCCCTGCAACTGTCTAGCTTCTTTCAACTCCTGTAGCAAATTGCGGTTGGAATGAAGAGATATCTGCTGCAGGGCATAGTGGGAGGAGAAGAATGTGGTCTGCGAGAGGACATTCCTCCCTCTACCCTCTATCAGCCCAGTAAGAAAGCAAGGAGATAACTTATTGATAAATACCTGTACCCTGTACAGATTTCTAATCTATGACCAGCCACGATGCAAGGGTTTAATTACAGGCTGCTCCCTTTTTGGGTTGTGTTCACTGCTTATATCAGCTCTTTAAACATCGTCTTTATCTTCTCTACATCTAGTGCAGTGCCTGATGCACATCTGTGGAATGGATTGCTTCACTGTGAGAAGAATGGTTTGTTATCTTTATCTTTTCTGGGTTATGGATCTTTCTTTCAGAAAGCTTATGAAGGTTCAACTTTTGACCTTTGTTTCCCAAGGAAAAAGAAGTGTGTAGGCACAAGCTTGCAAAAGCTGGCATATTGCTTTTTATTTATTTATTTTTGGTACTGGGGATCAAACTCAGGACCTTATGCTTTCCAGGCAGATGCTTATTCTGGTTGCTAAGCTATGTCCCCAGCCTTGGCATATTGCTTTAAAGAGATCACAGATGCCTTGAAGCAACACAGGCAACTCAAGTTAAAACTCCTCAAAACAAGAGAGAGGATAATAGGAAACTGTCTATAGACCTGGTCGAATGAATACTGATATATTATTATATATTCTATGTCATAGAACCTCCTAATAATGTAAATGAAATATTACTCCCCATCTGCTAGTTTTCTGGATGTCTGACATACCAAGTTTGTGTTCTTTAAAATCGAAGAATGAATTCTAGGAATGATGACAGGTAAGAGCAGAAAATATTGAAAAGAAAGAGATATTTTTTCAAATATTTTAAAGAAATCTTCTGTTTAAGAGAGACAGAAAGAGTCCAGAGTGGGCCATCTTCGAAATAAAGCTTCTGTCTAACAGGCAGGAGCCCGGAGGGGGCTGTTGGGGAGCAACCTTCTCAAGGGAGTTTTGCAGAGCAAAACTACCAGGTGAGGTAGATCTAAAGTAGGACAAAACTGTAACCAATCAATAAGATTACAAGTATAGTTGATCCTATGGGAAGTCACAAGGTGGGTATGAGGTAGGACAAAACAATGGTCAACCAATAAGATTATGAGTATAATCACTTAGGTAATGTTGATTAACTGGGGATCAAGAGGGGCAGTAAGTCACGTAGCAAGTGTATGTGGACCATACAGGGACTTTTCCTGGAAAGGAGATTTTCGTCCCCACCTCAAGGTAGTTGATGCCTATGTATAATGTCATTCACTGCTGTTCTTCACTCTTAGGGGAAGTATGTAAGGGTAGTCATTCTATCTTTGTCTTGCAGTCTGGCCACTAACTAATTCACCTCCAGTCACAGTCACAACGTAATCTCTTCTTCTGCAATGACTCTTGAGGGCCCAGCTCTGTCTGACAGCCTATAATACTTCTACCTAACTTAGCTGTCTAACAATTCCAGGACTGAGATGAGATTGTTAAAGAGACTCCAAGCATGGCTATGATTAGAGGTGGGAAAAGCATCCTTCCAAATGTAATGTGTTAGCATCCGGGCCAATGTGAATAAGGACTCGCTTGCAGTTTGCATTTGTGTAGCTTGCCTAGTGTTGGGATGACTTGGAGACACTATCTTCCTTTTTTGATTTAATGAGCTCAAGGATTTCTATTTTCTTATTAAAATATCTCCTTCCTAATTGATACTTTACATTTCTCTGGCACTTACCTCCTTTCCCACTGCTCATTCATTCAGATTCAAGCTGATTAGCACTTCACTGAAAGACCTGCTGTTAGTCTAGATCTTGCAACTTAACTGTGTCTAGAAGATTTCAGATGCAAACTCTGACTCAGACCAATCCATAAAATATAGAAATGTTTCTTCAAAGTGAATCAGGTATCTGAAAATAGTAATTTTTATTTAAGTACTTTGAAAGGTGAAGGGGTGGGAATGTTCTACATCTGATAGGAAATTATATAGAAATTAATTTTGCCTCTGAAATATTGGTTAGAACTTGTTCTCAGGGTGAAAAGTGACACATAAACATAACCAAAACCGAATTTGATTATAATTTCATTATAAATGAGGTCACTGCTATTTCCCACCACTATCAATTTTCTATTATTATTAGAAGAGTGTTCCCTAAGGTGAGCAAAAATAATTTGCAGTCTAAACAGCTCTGAAAATTTTCCTTTCAGATTTTGTGTTTGTTTAGCAGGTTCCTTACAATATGTATATGTGTGTGGCTAAAATTATTTTAACAGCCTTAATGGTATTACAGTGACAAAGATTCTGTAGATCTTGTGAAAACACATTCCTCTGTTTTGTATGAGCTTATTTAATTCCCTTTCCTGTGGTTGATATTTGAACCTCTTTCATTTAGAGTAGATCCAGCTACACAATTCACAAAGTGCCTGAACAGGTCCAGGAGGGGTTAAAGAACACACTACCCATGTAAAAACTGCCACTCCATTGCATAATCTATGCAATCTTGTAGCTGAATATGGGTTCTTATGAAATTTTAATTGAGGGAACATGATATACAATTGGGAAGTAATAGAAAGAAATTTTATAAACTAAATTTATAAACTAAATCTGTGCATTGTTCTTTGATTCTATTGTAATTTACAGCAAAAGGAAATTTTGAGATCTTACATGTACATTTATATGGTACATTTCGCTGTTTTTTTTTGTTTTTTTTTTTTTTTTCCGGAACCGGGGATCGAACTCACGCTCTTGCACTTACCAGGGAAGTGTTTATTCCACTGAGCCATCTCCCTGGCCCCTTGCTGGTTTTCTTTCATTCTTTTCTTCTCTTTGTTTTTGGTGATGTGGAGATTGAGCCCAGAGACTGCTGCACTACATCCCCAGCCCTTTCTTCCCAAGCTGGCCTCTAATTTGTCATCCTCCTGCTTCAGCCTCCAGAATAGCCAGGATTCCAGGCATGTACCACCAAGTCCATGTGGAGGTAGTTTTCAAAATGTATCATTATGCTATTTTTTTCTTTTCCTTTTTTTGTCTTTTTGAGACAGGGTCTCCTTATGCAGCCTAGGCTGGTCTCAAATCTGCAACGATCCTCCTGCATCAGCCTCCCGAGTGCTGAGATTACAAGCATGTACACCTGGCCATCATGCTATTTCTAAACGAAACGGAAAGGGATGAAAGGGATGCAACAGAGACATAAATAACCACAGAGAGAAATGTTACTGTAACTAGGAACAGCATACAATTTACTAAAGACAAATGATCAGATAGTTTCTTTCATAACTTTGTGTACAATGAAGGTCATGTTACATTTTTTTCATCAGAGCAGTGTAAACCTTAAAAGATTTGCCTTTTTAGTCACTAAAATTTGCAGGACAAAATGAAAAATCCAGGTTTATATACTGTTTCAAGTGATGGCTATAAAAATTATACACCAAAGCAGTTTTTCAAAGACTATTTCTCAAAATGATAGGCAAGGATAGGGTTGGGGAGGCTACCAAATTTCCAACTATTTATCTAGATGTAATCAATGAGCAGTGCAGGGCCTGATGGAGAGGCACAGCCCATGGAATCCCAATCTAAGGAAATTCACAATCTAGGTTGTCACGTGTTGGGGGACCCTTCTTCCCTTTTACCTAATTGGGGAACTATGATTAACAAATATAAGTGCAACAAAAGGGGGAAAAAAGTCACAAAAGGGCAAAGCAGTAGAGGGAAAGGGGAAGAGGCCTTGCTATTCTAGACTTGTTAATTAGGGTTAGAACAGTAATGGGGGATTTCCTGTACCCTGAATTTGTAGAGTGATTACACAGGTCTAGGGAAAAGGAATATACTCAGTGATTCACCCAGCTTTCTTAGTATAGGCGCTTTGCCTGGTACATTACAGTCTCCCTTCTCACATTATGTAGTGACTAATGGAGGGGGGAAGCCCTCCAAAGGTGTTTACCCCAACTCAAATGCCAAGGGATTTCAATAGTCCTTGACCTGTTAGGCAATCAGAAGTTTCTGTCTTTCCCTCTGAATGTGTGGGGCTTTTACTAGCCATAAAGGGACTTACCTTGAGACTTGTTACAACAGCCCCCAAGGGATAGAAATTTGAGGGTAGTTTCTGGTTCTGCTCTGCCATCTTGGAGTGACTCTCAAAAGTTTTCTCATCTCTGACAGGAAGAAAATGGTCACAGGTTTCATTCATTACTGTGTGGGATTCAGTGACCATAACTGGGCAACAGGAATCAGATGTTCTGATGGAAAGGTGGGCAGGTTCTGGTGACATTTCTGGTGATATAAGTCTTTTTGTTTATTTTGGGGGATGGGGATACCCGGAATCAGCTTGAGACCTCACCCTCTCCAGGCAGGCTCTGTACCACTAGGTATGCAGGGAGAATTTTGCAAAAGGCCCACCACAGAGACACCTGCAAGGAGGGCTCCTTTGCCAGAGCTTCTCTCTTGTCAACCTAAGCCTTTCACATCCAAATGAAGTACCCAAATTCATGGGGAAGGACCCTGCAAATTATATACATGTTCGCAACAGACTGATTTTTGTGATTTTTAATTATCTTTGCAGACATAACAAAACGAAAATTAAAACTAGAATAGTTCATAAACCTTGCCCATGTGGCTGCTGGAATCAGTACTCTACACAAGATTATAATTATTTCCCAAGATGCACACCCTGCATTCCAATTGATATTTTAATAACTTGATTAAAAATTTCTCAGAAGTCTATTAGAGTCAGGAAACGGGCTGCGGTATAGGTGAGGATTTTTGCTTTTGCAACGGAAAACTTTTGGCTTCCATGAATAGAATTCGTAGCAAAAACTCAATTTACATGTGTTCTTCCTCCATCTTTGCCTAATTCAAAAGTAAAAAGTGAGAACCTGTTTGGAACTGATCATTTCAGGCTTGCTCTTTGTTCCTTTTAGAACAGCCAGGTAGATTCACATGATCCAATTTTTAAACTGTCTTCTTGTTTTCCACATCAAGTAAATTCAGATGCTCTATCACAACCAGAGAGATTTAAATTTTTGTTTTAAATTGCAACCTTCCAAGGCCAGAGTGGGGGTAAGGGATTAAAAAGAACAGTATTTTAATTAAAGAAAAAAAAAATCAGTAACTTAAGGGTTTTAGGATATGATCAGCCATTTCTTAATTAAGAAATGAGTTTGACAACCCTTTGGCCGGCTTGTACACAGTGTTATGAAAACCCTAAAGGCTGATCGCTGTTCAAGCGACAAAACTCCATTCCCCGAGGGACCCCGGGCATCCCTTCTTGGCCGCCGAAGTCCCTGGAGTCCTTCTCTACTCGCAGACGCCGAGCTTCCCGGGGTCGGTGTCCTCCAAGCGAAGCGTGGCGCGGAGCCGGCTGCCGCAGGCTCGCCGCCACCATGTCCTGCAGATACCTTTTCCCTCCCCGGAGCCCCAGCGTGCCGCCGCCTCCTCGCCTCCCTCCCTCCTGCCGGCGGGGCCTGCACAGCGCTCGGGACCAGCAGCCGGGCAGCGGCGGCAGGAAGCAGAGCCCTTGTTGATGCCGTTCCGTGGCGCGTCCCCCCGCCCTCCGGCGGCCGCCCGGCTCTTCCCGGCTGCCGCACGCCTCCCTCCGCGCCTGCGCACTGCTCCGCGGGGGGCGGGGCTCAGATTCCTGTCAGCGGCAGCGGCGGCGGCGGTGGCGGCGACCGTCAGTTTTCGCTGAGGAGGAGCACGAAACGGACCCGTTGGTTCTCTCCCCTCCCTCTCCCCGCCCCGAACCTCTCTCCTGGCTCGCCGGGAGTCAGTCCCCGTGGAGTTTCCCTCCTGCCGCCGTTTCATCGGTCCTCGACCCGGTGGAAGTCAACTGCCCTCGAAGAGGAGGCAGCGGCAGCCCGCCCTCGCCGCCCCCCGGTTCGGCGCCCGCGGTCCCGGAGAGGAGGTGCCGCCGCCACCGCCGCTCCCCCCTCTCGCTGCCTTCGGGCCGGGCTGGGTCGAGCTGCGATGCCCTCGGACTTCATCTCATTGCTCAGCGCGGACCTAGACCTGGAATCGCCCAAGTCCCTGTACTCGCGAGGTGAGTCAGGCTGGGGGGTGGGGCGTGGGGGCAGGG